CCCTAAGCCCCCCTAAACCCTAAACCCTAAACGCTAAGCCCTAAGCCCTAAATCTAAAACGAAGAAGGCAGGGTCTCCCGCCTCGGCAAAGTCGGCACCTTTTGCCGCACTTGATCCACTCGTGCGCCTGCGGGTCGCTCGTCTGTGCTTGCTTCAAAGAGAAGGGTCCTTCGCATCAGAAAACAGCTTCACAGATTTACACTGGTTAGAAATATCTTCCTTCTCTTTGAAAGTCAAAATGAGTCCTTTCTTTAAGGACTCCCACCATAAAGCTGCTTTGAGCGGCTTTGTCAGGTGGTCCGCATACTGTGCCGTCGTCGGCACCCATACAAGTCTTCCCAGAGACTTCAGATCATCTCTGATTGCTGCCAAATCGATGGCAAGCCTTTTGCAGGAAGGAGGACGCGGTATTCCATCCCGCGTCAGAGTATCATACAAGCTCTTGCAGTCACTCAGGAAACGAACTTCGTAGCGCAGGGGCTCGTTGCTTCGAGCCAACCTTCCATCCACAAGGGTCTGCAGAAACCGGAGTATGTATTCTCCGGTTTCTATCGACGTCGCACATCCCATAGTCTCCGCAGCGAAGGTCGAGCGGCACACTCGGTCGCATGCCGAGCTCTTCCAGTCTAGGATGCTCACTTTGTGGCATCCCCCGTGTAGGATAGCTCGGTCGGCGAGCAAGTAGAGACCGCCAAGCTGTGAGGCTATGCATGAGTTCGTCCGCTTAGCCTTGCGCAGGTGGAAGTCGTAGGGCCCGTCGAGCATCGTGCCGGCGGAGTTCTCCTCTGGAGTGAGGGCGTAGTAGGGGTCCTCGTCGCTCTGAGGACAGTTCGCCCATCCTGCGTCGTGGAAGCACAAAAGGACCGCTTGGTCAAGCGGAACTGGCCGTATGAGGATTCCTTCGTCCATGTGATCGCAAGCTCTCCTTGCCATCATGTTCGAAAACCGGATGTCTCCGATGGTGGGGGTCTTCTGGCACTGCTGGCTCAAGGACACTCCGACCTGGAGATCTGGTCGGGTCTGACTAGAGAGCCAACTCAGACCTCCCACCAGCGACATGTTGTCGTGCCTCTGGGCATCAGAGGCTGCCTCCCAATCCTTCTGATCGCGTCCAACCTCGATCTCAAACAACCTGGTCTTCACGTAGCTGGACTGGGATATCTTGATCTCGTGGGGCTTGATGTCGATGTAGGATCCCACGTACTCAAAGGATCCTGTCTCCCATTCCGGGATTGGGAATTTAGTACTCAAGGTCTTTTTGACAAGGGAGCATAAAGAGTCCATGCCGACGAGCAGGATGTCGTCAACATGGACGCCGAGGAATGCCTTGGGGGGGCCGTAGCGAGGCGCACCATTCTCGTCCGGTTCAAGGACTTCCTGTACCATAAAGATGCAGTGGTCGAGTGTGCACTGCTTAATGTGCCACCGCTTCCCGGCCTCGTCGGTCATCTCGATGCCTTGCAACGTCTGTCTGAGGGTGTCCCACCACGAAGACGGAGAATCAACCAACCCAAAGATAGGACGTTTGATCCTGAGCAACTGTTCTGGGTGCAAGTCACCCAGCCCCACTTTCGGCTGGCGAAGATAAAGTTCGCGCTGCAGCTCTTGTCCGCAAAGTAAAGCCGAGCTGACGTCTCCCGCATGACCTGTCCATCCGGCAGCCAGATTCGAGGCCAAGATCTGTAACAGCAGGAAGATCCCCTGTCGAGAGATGGTGGGCGCATGGGTCGAGAGCCCGCTCGACAAGTCAGGGTCTCGATGTCCAGCGATAACGAGCCTTGCCTTGGGTTTCCAAGGCAGGCTCTCGTCCTGCTTTCTCTTGCACCAATGTTTATCCCTGTAGGCGAACCTGCTGCCCAGTATACGATCACCTTTCTCCTGACAGATCCGACGGCTTTCGGAAACAGAGAGCGGCTCAAAGGCGCCCAACTCGTAGTGCTCCAACCACTGTTTGCGCTCAGCAGCTTTGAAGGCTTCGTGTTGGTCGTTCGGAATGAACGACCACGGTAGTTCTTTCTCTAGTGCCTTCTCTCTGCCTCGTGCAGTCTTTGGGAGCTTGAGCATATGAGCTTCTTGGGGTCGGTCACCAGGAGCTCTGGCCGTCTCCTCCATAGGCATGTCATCACCTGAAGGAAGTGGTGAATCGGGTACAAGAGGAAGTTCATGACCAAGATGAAGAGGTGGCCCTTTTCTCCTCCTCCTTTTCCGAACACCAGGGGCTTCTTCGGCTCCTCTCATCCTTGGACTCCGGTGTGGTTCCCCGGCGTTCTCATAGTCACCGTCGTAGGGCATCTCGGCGTCGCCTTGGGAGGCCTGAGGATCACCCGGAAGGTGAACGGGACCGTCACCCAGAGGAACACCAGGGTCTCCAGGTAGAAGAGGTGGATTTCCGCCAACATCACGGTCATCCCCAACGTAGATCTCGTCCTCGGCGAAGTCGCGGTCCAAGAGTCTCTCCAAATCTTCTCGTGTAGTACGCAGGGTGAAAGCACTGCCCACTTCCTCTCCTGTAGCCATCCGCAAATGTTCTCGGGCAACGAGGTGGCATCTCCCGGCAAAGGAGGTCCAGTAGTTTGGACCTTCCAGTCCTATGACTGTAGCCGGGCCGATCCATCTCCAGTCTTTGCAGTTCTTCGGCTTCCGGTAGAAGTAGACAACGTCACCGATCTGGACCTCGGGGCCTGCTACGCGAGAGCGCTGCAGGAGAGCTCTCCTCAACTTCGCGTCGTTCTGGTTCTTGAAGTAGGCCTCCTTCGCACCCAACCTGATAGCCATTTCCCGACTTCTCCGACGGTCGTAGGTGAGGATGTGGTCGATCTGTTCGCCGTGTGGTGTTTCGAGGAGGTCCTCGGGGAGAGTGGGGTCACGACCCCACACGGCCTGGGCTGCACTGAAGCCAGACTGCTTCTTCAACGTGTTCACAGCCGAGTTGATGGCGGTGACGGTGATCTGGAGTTCTCCGTGGCCAACGGACTGCTGGTCGACGAGCTTCTTCCAGATCTCCTTCCAGGTTTGGATGGCTCTCTCAACACTCCCTTGTTGGAAGTGTGCTTGGCCTGCAGAGGGCCTGAGCTTCGTCCCATGCCACTCCGAAAAGCGCCCGAGACCGGCCTGCAAGCCGCTCTCCAAGTCCAGAGCGATCGTTCCCGGCGCTCCGAAGGTGTTGGACCAGATCCTGCAGAAGTCTGCCTCCATGGTCTGGGTGGAGTGACCTGACAAAGAGCCTGCCAAAGAAAACCCAGTGCCGAAGTCTGTGATCATCATGAACTCATGTCTCCTCCGGTTGGAGTCGTAGGCAGAAAAGGCATCGACCGCCACGATCTGGTTGAAGTCGAGTATAGTCGGAAGGGAGGCCGGTCGAGCTGAGCCGGCTCTCTTGTTTCTTTCACACACTTGGCATCGCATACGCTTGACAGCTTCCACCACTTCACTTCCTGCCCCGGCAATTCGTAGATGACGGGCAAGGTCCTCATTCAAAGGGTGGCCGAGGTTCTGGTGCAGTCGTTTCAAAGAAGATTGGACCTCCTTCTTGATCCGGCTTCCAGCGCTGAATGAAATAGCTTTTGCACCCTCGAGCTCAGGAGAGAGCACAGAGTCGGGAGCCCGTCCGGTCTTCCGATCCACAACGTAGGCTTCTTCACCTCCGTCGGCCCCTTCGTCTCGTAGTAGATATCGTTGGAAAGTCTCGACGGGGATCTCGTTGTCGCCATCCTCTCCGAAGGTCTCGGTAGGGTTGAGGTGAAGAACCCGGGAGCCATTGGAACGGTGGGTCCATTTGTAGTCGTAGAAGTCGGCGAGGGCCAGGAGTTCCTCGGAAGACCAGCTTGAATCTTCCGGCTTCCCTTCAAGGACAACTGTCCTCCCGGCCGCGAGTTGTCGTTGGGCAACAGCAAGCAGTCTCTCAAGTTGGTCTCCAAGAGACGAGAGATGTATCCAAAGCCTCCGTGGTCGTAGTTCATCAAGTATCGCTGTTGTGGTGCTGAGGTTGTGGTCGGCCCGGAAGTGTTCCTCATAGAGCGGTGCAGTAGTGACATATCCGTGCTCCGTGGCCTCAAAGGTCTTGTAGTCACCACCGATCTCGAGAAGCGTCACTGCATCGGGTCCTCGCGACTCGGGGAACGCAGGGAGGACGCAGGTAGATGCCGCAATGCTGCACCACACCGTAAGCGCGATGATCCGCCTGGCGTTCTGCCACAAGGCCTTCCTCGTACTCTTGATGGGCCGAGAGGTCCGAGCGTACTCCTCATTCTCCTTGACAGCAGTAGGCGGAAGCTTGCGGAGGGGAAAACGGACTTCACGGAGTCCATCGCGTAGTCGTGCTCCGGCAGAAGGGAAACTTCTCGTAGTGAAACACGAAATCACCCATCGCTCTCCAGTCCAGGGTTCTGTGGCGTGTCTCCTCCGCGGGTCCAGTAAGTAGGGAGCGCTTTTTGTGGAGGCCAGGTATCCCGGTAGAGGATTGCCGTCTCGGTCGGGTCGCCACTCGACAGGTAAGTGAAGGGGGTCGTCATCACGATCTCGTTCGACCCATACGCAACCACCGGAGAAGTCACCGAGGGAGACCGTGAGCACCGGGGTCTCTGCGAGATTGTGAGAGTCTCGGTGTATACAAGTGGCGACGTCCTTATGGATGATGAAGGAAGACCAACCGATGTCTTTCACAGGACTCGCCCTCTTCATCACCTCGTTGACATAGGAGACGAACTTCGGATAGAGGGCAGTCCCTCTCGAGGTTCCATGGAGTCCTCCGTGAGTCCACATTCCGCCAAGGAAACTCTGTGTTTTGTCGCCGGGGTTGCCATTGATGCACCTGTGCCTAGAAGTCGGCTTCATAGGTAATTGGGGAAGTAGTAGAGCAAGTTCATCAAGAGAGAAACGCTTTTCTTTAAGTAGTCGTTGTGCAGCTTCTTCTAGGCTGGCGCCGCTTGCGTCGAGAGGCCCAGTGGAAGGAGTGCCCTCGTCGATCATGTAGATCTCCTCGACAACTTCGCCAAAGGACTTCAAAGGTGACCTCGACGGTTGAGACTCACAAGACAGATCACCAGGAAGTCCGCCAGGATTGCAACGGGTTCCACTGGTGTTCTGGTCACTGGGAACTGGAACACCTGGTACAGGTAGTGCCGAAGACATGGGATCACCAGGAAGTCCGCCAGGATTGCAACGGGTTCCATTGGTGTTCTGGTCACTGGGAACTGGATCACCTGGTACGGGTAGTGCCGAAGACATGGGATCACCAGGAAGTCCGCCAGGATTGCAATGGGTTCCACTGGTGTTCTGGTAACCAGGACCCGAAGCGCGAGGAAAGGTTTCAGAATGATCTCGTGGTTGAAGAGGTTCAGGTAGTACAGAAGGTCTTCCGGCAGGATCTCCTTCATCTTGACACAGATCATCTAGAAGAGTTCTCGCACAGGGGTCGTCGGCATCGGACAAACGAGCGGCACCTTGACAAAGCAGATGAGGTGCTCGAACTTCAGAAAACGAATTAAGTCTGCATTGGTCTCCGAGAGACCCGCCAAAATGGCCTTTGCGCCGAACTCCGTCGGCATCAAAACTGTTGGTTGGCTCTGCGGGCTGGTTCCTCCCAGCTTCATAGAAAAGGCCAGTGTCGGAGATGGTAGCGTCGAAGGAGCCAGGAAGATCATCTCGTGGTGCTCCGACAAAGGCCGATTGAGGTTTGTCATCTACGGAGCCTCTCCCGAGGGGGCCATTCCGTGCCGGTCGCGCAACACCGCCAGCCGCGCCTGGAGGTACTGAATCTCGTCCATGACCTGGGGGTCGATCTCCTGGTCCATGTGGCTTCCAAGAGACGATGGCGGGGCTTGGCGCCGCTGCGCTTGGATGCGCTGTTCGATCACCTCGTTCTCCGTCCGGGTCGGTCTGGCCTTGGGTCTCGTGGACGTCCGGGTAGTAGTCGTGCTCCTCGTCGGGACCACATCCCACGAGCTGCCGCCGAAGGACTCCGGGTTGTAGGGGATCCTCGCCGAGTGTTCCGAGTCCACATAAGGGGGAGGGACCGAGCTGCTCGCATAGCCGTCCGTGATCTCCAGAGCTCGGCTCGCCCACGCCGCGAACATCTTCAAGTCCTCCTGGGCCCCGTCGTTCTCGGACACCTCCTGAACAGCCCAGCGCCGGTACGAGATCGGGGTCTCCTGGTACATCCGCCCCTTGAACCTCCCGAAGGCGAGCACCGTCTGGGGTCCTCGTCCTCCTTGGTCTCGTAGCATTCGCATCAACATCCCTTTGTTGGCCTTCTCCGGAATCGCTATCCCCGAGGCCTCGAGCGCATTCTCGAGCTCCTTGATCGTCATCTTGGTCAGCGGCACCGTCTCTCCAGTCACGATCTCCGTCGCGGGGGTGCCGCGCTTCATGTCCTCCTGGATGATCGAACGGATCTCCGGTACCGTCCACTTCTCGTGGATGGTGAGTCCCCTCGCCTCGGCTTCCATCAGTAGCTCGTCCCGACGGAGATCCCATAGCCCCTTCTGCTTGGTCACCGTAGGCGCCGTCAGAAGCGGGGACCGTGAGGCCATCAGGGGGCGAGCAAGAAGAACAGGAGGGCTTGGAGGCTCTACCGAAAGAAGTTCTTCCGACCCACAACATCGGGAATGAGGATTTGCTTCCAAGGCTCTGCCACTGATCGTGCACTTCAGGAAACTCTCGCTGTGTTTTGCAAGCAAAACCCTGTGTTGACCGAAGGGACCCGAGGACATGGAGAAGAGCAGACTTCTGTTCAACATTCGACGTTGACCATCCACTGGGATCAAAGAACGACCTCCTAGGGACAACATGTATCCGATGAAGCTGAAACTCGTCTTCAATCCAAAAGTCGTTTGAAATCGCACTTCTCTCCCACCACGCCATAAAGCTTGAGGGGTTCACTTTATCAGATGTGAGGAGGTTGTAGGCTTCAATGCTGATCTTCTTCGGGTAGAACACCTTGGGGCCTGGTACAGCTTCTGGGCCTCTGGAGTCCTCGAAAGAAAGGCCTGGGAGAAGCGGGGGTGGACCAACATGACAGACATCACCCTCACACTGTCCTTGCTGGCGACGGAGTCGCCTGAAGAAGTCACCGAGGGAGCGGCCGACCTGGGTGACTTGTACATCTAAGTACCTGTCAGTCACCCAACCAAGGAAGTACTCCATGCCGTCGTCACCGGCGAGCTTGTCGACGTCCAAGCGCTCCGCGTCGATCCAGGCCTTGCCGCTCAGGTGCTGGTACAAAGTGAGGGCTTGGCGGGACGGCTCAATACGAGTCATCCGCCTCCAGGCGGCGATTTGCCGCATGTAAGACCGAGCACTGGCTCCGATGTCTTCGGAGCCGCTTTCCACAGCCCCAGAGAAACTGGGGACAACCATCTTCTCGGAAGGGCCACGGGGAACTTCTGAAGTCCTTGGAGGGCCGGTCAGATCATGTCCGAGCTTCTGAGGCTGCCATCCACCAGGCATAGCATTGCCTCCGCGAGATCTCCATGCCTCACGAGCAGACTCTTGAGGGTCTGGGTCCCAAGAAGGCGGCCCTTGGGCCGAGACAGACCCCGTAGACGTAGAACCCCAAGTGCCGCCGTAGCTGTTGCGGCGGTCCTGCCATCCTTGCGCACCTTGGCGCCAGTGGTGGTCTTCCCAAGACTTCCACTGGTCCCGCTCTTCCCATCCGGAGTGTCCCCGCCAGGAATCCTGACCTCCACTCCAGGCTGCCGAGGCCCACGGGTCGTGGGGCTCTTCAGGTTCGTCGTTCGAAGCGCCATCAGCGTGAACATCACGTGCATGAGCGCCCCCTCCTACTCCATCACGATCGGCAGACACGCCATCACTATGTTGTTGCGCAGAATCATCACCAGTATCACGACAAAACTCATCGACAGAAGGACCGACAGGCCACGACATAGCGGAGTACAACTACACTACTGGAGCATAAGGCTCCGCTACCAATCTAAAACGAAGAAGGCAGGGTCTCCCGCCTCGGCAAAGTCGGCACCTTTTGCCGCACTTGATCCACTCGTGCGCCTGCGGGTCGCTCGTCTGTGCTTGCTTCAAAGAGAAGGGTCCTTCGCATCAGAAAACAGCTTCACAGATTTACACTAAACCCCGCTGCCCTCATTTCGGAGCCCAGGCCGGTTTGGCCGCCGTGCGCGGCTCCCGCACGCAGGCGCGATAGCCCAAATGCCGATTCCCTAAAGCCTTGCGCTTTTTTTTGGGCTGTCTTACGGCTTTAGAAATTCAGGGTTCAGGGGTTTAGGGTATATAGGCTTATTGGGTTTTAGGGCATACTGTCCGGTATACCCAAGGGATCAGGAAGCTTGGTAAGCAGGGTGATATGTCAGGCAGTTATTATTGTAATCACCTATCGCCCCAAACGTCCTGCTATTGCTCTACTTGCAAAGTCCCGTGATCCTTCAAGTTTACCCTACAACTGACAACAAACCCCGCAAACAAGTCTTAAAACTCTGAGGGACTCAGCTTGAAAACCAGGAAAGCCTGAAATCCAGCAGGCCAAAGCCGCTGCTGCCGTCGAGGCCCTTGTTTGTGCCAGCATAAGAAGTAGCCGCGAATGACCAGCAGCAGTATCAGAAACTTAAGGACTGCGGCAGATCCGTGCTTGGATCAGCATATACCATATACACCAGATACCCATGGGGATTCTTTCCACAAGTGTACTTCTGCTCTTCTCAAGACGTGGTGTTCAACTGCAAGGCTGCAAGGCGTGGAACCCTTGCAGTAACTATCCCTGGCCAGTGCAAGTTTTTTTGTTCCGAAGGGCCTCGTATCGAGTATGCTCACACTTTGCAACAGGAGAAGAGGATTTTTTGAGTGTGGTGCTGCGAGTAAGTTTAAGAAGCACAGGGTAGTGTGGTTTATAGCTAGCTTTCGGATGGTTCTTCACCGTCCAGGGTCTAGGATTCTGTTGCATTCAGGTGTGCGGTTTCGAGTGATTTGGGAGATCCCGGAAATGGGGAGGCCCCTCATATAATACCCTAAAAATAGCAGGGTCCTTTTTATCAGGACCCCCCAAATAAGGTGGGGCCATTCGATGCCGGCAGGCCCCGGAGCCAGTGCTCTTCCAGCCTTCCGAGCAGTTTGGCGCCACCCAACCTCTTGGATTCTTTGATCCGCTCGGGTTTACCAAGGTTGGCGACGAGAAGGGCTTTAGGAAGCTGCGTGTCTCCGAGATTAAGCATGGTAGAGTAGCGATGATGGCTTCGATTGGGCTCGTCGCACAGCATTTCGTCAAGTTCCCTTTCTTCGAGAATGCTCCCGCGGGCTTCTCCATCATGGACAAGGGCGAGGGCGTGCTCGGCTTCTTCGGCATCTTCCTCGCTTGCGCCCCGCTGGAGCTGTGGTGGAGGGAGAACCCTGAGAAGCAGCCTGGAAATTACGGAGACCCCTTCGGCGTGAACATGTACAACGACGAGATGAGGATGAAGGAGCTAAACAACGGGCGCATGGCCATGATCTCGGTTCTTGGTATCTTCGCCGCAGAGATGGCGACCGGCAAGGACGCCATGCAGCAGTTCGGGCTTCCCGCCATCGGTGGTGCCCGTGCCTCCACTTCCTCCGGCAGCAGCTTTGCAGGATCCACCTCTTCAAGAGTCGTGGCTCAGCAGCGCGTGGTGCGAAGGGCTGAGGCCGTCATTCAGGAAGATGCACCGCCGCTCTTCCAGCCTTCCGAGCAGTTTGGCGCCACCCAACCTCTTGGATTCTTTGATCCGCTCGGGTTTACCAAGGTTGGCGACGCGAAGGGCTTTAGGAAGCTGCGTGTCTCCGAGATTAAGCATGGTAGAGTAGCGATGATGGCTTCGATTGGGCTCGTCGCACAGCATTTCGTCAAGTTCCCTTTCTTCGAGAATGCTCCCGCGGGCTTCTCCATCATGGACAGGGGCGAGGGCGTGCTCGGCTTCTTCGGCATCTTCCTCGCTTGCGCCCCGCTGGAGCTGTGGTGGAGGGAGAACCCTGAGAAGCAGCCTGGAAATTACGGAGACCCCTTCGGCGTGAACATGTACAACGACGAGATGAGGATGAAGGAGCTAAACAACGGGCGCATGGCCATGATCTCGGTTCTTGGTATCTTCGCCGCAGAGATGGCGACCGGCAAGGACGCCATGCAGCAGTTCGGGCTTCCCGCCATCGGTGGTGCCCGTGCCTCCACTTCCTCCAGCAGCAGCTTTGCAGGATCCACCTCTTCAAGAGTCGTGGCTCAGCAGCGCGTGGTGCGAAGGGCTGAGGCCGTCATTCAGGAAGATGCACCGCCGCTCTTCCAGCCTTCCGAGCAGTTTGGCGCCACCCAACCTCTTGGATTCTTTGATCCGCTCGGGTTTACCAAGGTTGGCGACGAGAAGGGCTTTAGGAAGCTGCGTGTCTCCGAGATTAAGCATGGTAGAGTAGCGATGATGGCTTCGATTGGGCTCGTCGCACAGCATTTCGTCAAGTTCCCTTTCTTCGAGAATGCTCCCGCGGGCTTCTCCATCATGGACAGGGGCGAGGGCGTGCTCGGCTTCTTCGGCATCTTCCTCGCTTGCGCCCCGCTGGAGCTGTGGTGGAGGGAGAACCCTGAGAAGCAGCCTGGAAATTACGGAGACCCCTTCGGCGTGAACATGTACAACGACGAGATGAGGATGAAGGAGCTAAACAACGGGCGCATGGCCATGATCTCGGTTCTTGGTATCTTCGCCGCAGAGATGGCGACCGGCAAGGACGCCATGCAGCAGTTCGGGCTTCCCGCCATCGGTGGTGCCCGTGCCTCCACTTCCTCCAGCAGCAGCTTTGCAGGATCCACCTCTTCAAGAGTCGTGGCTCAGCAGCGCGTGGTGCGAAGGGCTGAGGCCGTCATTCAGGAAGATGCACCGCCGCTCTTCCAGCCTTCCGAGCAGTTTGGCGCCACCCAACCTCTTGGATTCTTTGATCCGCTCGGGTTTACCAAGGTTGGCGACGAGAAGGGCTTTAGGAAGCTGCGTGTCTCCGAGATTAAGCATGGTAGAGTAGCGATGATGGCTTCGATTGGGCTCGTCGCACAGCATTTCGTCAAGTTCCCTTTCTTCGAGAATGCTCCCGCGGGCTTCTCCATCATGGACAAGGGCGAGGGCGTGCTCGGCTTCTTCGGCATCTTCCTCGCTTGCGCCCCGCTGGAGCTGTGGTGGAGGGAGAACCCTGAGAAGCAGCCTGGAAATTACGGAGACCCCTTCGGCGTGAACATGTACAACGACGAGATGAGGATGAAGGAGCTAAACAACGGGCGCATGGCCATGATCTCGGTTCTTGGTATCTTCGCCGCAGAGATGGCGACCGGCAAGGACGCCATGCAGCAGTTCGGGCTTCCCGCCATCGGTGGTGCCCGTGCCTCCACTTCCTCCAGCAGCAGCTTTGCAGGATCCACCTCTTCAAGAGTCGTGGCTCAGCAGCGCGTGGTGCGAAGGGCTGAGGCCGTCATTCAGGAAGATGCACCGCCGCTCTTCCAGCCTTCCGAGCAGTTTGGCGCCACCCAACCTCTTGGATTCTTTGATCCGCTCGGGTTTACCAAGGTTGGCGACGAGAAGGGCTTTAGGAAGCTGCGTGTCTCCGAGATTAAGCATGGTAGAGTAGCGATGATGGCTTCGATTGGGCTCGTCGCACAGCATTTCGTCAAGTTCCCTTTCTTCGAGAATGCTCCCGCGGGCTTCTCCATCATGGACAAGGGCGAGGGCGTGCTCGGCTTCTTCGGCATCTTCCTCGCTTGCGCCCCGCTGGAGCTGTGGTGGAGGGAGAACCCTGAGAAAGAGCCCGGAAATTACGGAGACCCCTTCGGCGTGAACATGTACAACGACGAGATGAGGATGAAGGAGCTAAACAACGGGCGCATGGCCATGATCTCGGTTCTTGGTATCTTCGCCGCAGAGATGGCCACCGGCAAGGACGCCATGCAGCAGTTCGGGCTGTGAGGATCTTCCGAGTTGTGAATTCGAGAGGTGCTTAGTGTCAATTTCGGTTCCATTTTGTACACATTTTCTGCTCCTTGCAAAATGCAAGCAGACGAGCTCAAGACTCCGTTTCAGCACTCTTTTCAAGCCTCTTTCGGCTTCTCTTGCTCCTCAATGCCAGCGTACAGTTAGGCAAGAACCCAGCCACCCGACAAAGATATCTAAGCACATTCAGGTGTTGAGTTTCGGGTGTAAGTTGCAAGGTTTTGGGGTTTTACAGCTGCAGCATGCCAGTTTTGATTTTACAGTTTTTGTTTTGGAGGGAGGGGTTTCGTGCTCTGGGGTTTCGCGTACAAGGTTCAAGATGGGGTGCAACTGATTTCTATGTTCAGGGCGACGCACAAGTCTGCTTTTTGGCGAAAGTGCCATGTTCACAAGCCAAGCCCGGAGCCTGGAGCCTTAGTGCACAAGGTATTCTAGCGAGTATCGAAACCCAAAGAGGGTGCGTGCCCCTAAACCCTAAACCCTAAACCCTAAACCCTAAACCCCACGGCTTCGTCAGACATTTCGGCTCTAGGATCGGAGCCACAGGGGTGCCATGGCGGGCGAGGGCCAAACGGGCCAGGGAGGTGGGGGACCTAAGTTAGCGGCTTCAGGGTTGAGGGTTCAGGGATGGGTTTAGAGTTAATAATAAGAATAATAATAGTAATAGTAATAATAATAATGATAATAATATTAATAATATGATTAATAATAATAATAATAAGAATAATAGTAATAATAATAATGATAATAATAATTATGATAATAATAAGAGGTTCGGGTTAAGTCAAGCCTAAGCCTAGCTGGCCTGTTGAGCCGTCCAGCTAAAAGGAGCT